TGTCCATTTATTGTTTGTTCTTTTTCTATTTCATGTTGGAGTTCTCTACTCATTCTCAAAAACAATCTTCCTTTAGTACTGGAAATTGAGCTCAAGGTGCCCTTTTTATTTTTTATTAATTTTTATTTTGAAACAGTGTCTCACTAAATTGCCTGGACTGGCCTCAAACTTTGATCCTCCCTCCTCAGCATGCCAAGTAGCTTGGATTATAGGGGCCCACTGCCATGCCTGGCTCAATGATAATAAACCTTAAGTGTCTCTTGCCAGCGCATTCCCCTAATCTTTACTCGCCTTTTAATTTGGCTTTTTTATGCAAAAATTCTTGTCAATGAGCTCAGTCTACACATCTTACACTGCATGACTCCTAGGTTTGTCTTTCATTCTAATCCCAAAATACAAATACAAATATTTCCTTCTTTATTTTCCTTGGAGAGCATTATATTTTCTTTGTGCTTAACACGGTAATTTGTCTTTGATGCAATTTCATTAGGTGTGATGTAATCTAAAATTCTTTATCTTTCCCAATTTTTTTTTTTTCTGTACTGGGGATTGAACTCAGGATCCTGTGCATGCCAGGCAGGCTCTTATTCTACTGAGCTATCTCCCCAACCCCTCCAAATGTTATTGATATGTCTCAGTACTGTTTTTGTTGTAGTCCAACAATTCACATATTTTCTCCCCTCAGGATTCCTTTATACTTTTAAAATTATTGAAGAATCCAAAGAGATTTTGCTTATGTGATATATATCTCAGTCTCACAGTCTTGCCACTGTGAACCTTAGGGCCCATGGTGTATGGCTGTCATGTGATTCTGTGGTGAGGGATCCTAGCAAAGTTCTTCCTTCCTCTCCTGGGCCTCTGAAGAGCAGGTTCCTATTTGTTCACAGCCTGTTCTGATGAATGACCTCACCTCCTGGGCTCCCTGTCTATACAATGAAGGAATCAGAACAAGTTGGGAATTTATTGCCTTTGTGTGCTTTTTTCTTTTTCTTGCCTTTTATTTTAGGGAAGGGTCTACAGGTTGTTCAGGGTCTCGCTACTACATCTGACTTATAGTGATCTGCCTGTTTAAGAGCTGGGATTACAGGTGTGCGCCACCATACCCAGTCTCAATTGCGTCTTGGTGTGTCCCAGGGGCAGGGCCAGCGTGGCAGGCCTGGGGATCGAACCCTGGCCCCTGTGCCTGCTTGCAGGTGCTTTAATCCACTGAGCTATTTGGCCGGCCCTGTGTGCTTTTTTTCTGAGAAAATAGCAATTCCCCCCAAAAGTTAAAGATATATGAGTCTTTCATTTTTTATAATTTTCTAGATGCTGAGGCCTCCTCATCTTACAGCATCTCCACTGCCCTGTATGAGCTTCAAACAGACCTGGTTCCCTATGGGAAGGGAGCTGGTCCTTTCTGCCCTCTTCTCGGCCCTGCCCTGGACTCTGGGCCCAACCAGTACTTCTAAGGTTTCAGGGACTGGAGGGCCCCCATGTGCCAGCACATCTCAGTCCTCATCCGTGGATAAGCATGTAATGAGTAGCTCAGTGCACAACCTCAGGCTAGGGGCTTCAGAGTGTTCAAACAAGAGCACACCTGCTGGCAGAGGGGCTCTGTGTCTTATCGGGGACCTGGGTGGTAGAGGGAGGCTGGCAGGGGCAATTGCCTCCGTTTAAACTCTAATGCAGTAAGCAGACATTCAACTGCTAAGCAAATGTCTCTCAGCAGAGTTGGCTGGTTTCCTCTCTTTTTCTTAACTCAGTAAATAGGTTTTGATACATTTAAGAGAGATTCATATTCCTGGTCTTATGGCATAGATATGTCCAACATCTAATCAATGGGTCAGTGAGATGTGGTATCTGGATATTTGAGAATGAATGAGGGTGTGGACTCCTAGGTTCTCAAATCCCTCACAACTTTCCCTAGTAGGGATTGGGATTAGCCGAGGGCCATCTGCATCTCGGCAAGAATTGGGAGAGGAACCAGAGCAAGACTTCTGTATCACATTTGCATGGCAGACTTCTAGCATTTAACTCCCAGGTCTACTATTTCTTTTTCTTTTTTTATAATTTTATTGAGAAAGAAGTAGCAATGAGACAGTTTCAAAACAGGTTAGTAGGACAGTTACAATAATTCATGCATTGCATATTGTTGTCTTTGTAGTAGTTATTCATAGTACAAGATGTAGACATGATATTTTGTCTAAACACTTAATTCAAAACTTTCTTCTCATTGAACTAAGAGAAAGTAGCTGTATATCTATGCTAACTATTTTGCATATACAGATATATATTTTTTTCACTACAAAATGGTCCTTCATTCATATCCCCCTTTTTGTTTACTTTTGTCAGAGATGGGTATTCCATTGCCATTCATATATTGTAGGTGCATAAATTCAGCAACGTAGTCCAATATAGTCCAGTAGTCTATAATAGTAGTGGGTAAGGAGAGTCACCTGGAGAGAAAACATTCTCTCAGGCTTTCACAGAGAGCAAATCAGTCAAGCAATGGCTGTGACTCATTCACATGGCTGACACTGACAAAAGATCTACAAACTGCTGTACAGGGTTTCAGGGTGAGTCCTGAGGGGATTTGGCTGACCTTGCCAGATACATAAGTTATTTTTTTTTTTTTGGTTATATAAGTCTTGCTTTATCTTGGTCTTAACCATCCAGCAGAAAAGTATAAAAACAAGGTATAAAAAGTAAAGCCATATTAATATGCTGATCTGGAAAAGGCTCAAGTCAACAACGTCTGACGTTGCCAGCTGTACTATTTCTTATGCAACTTAATTCACTACTTTCTACCTCTGTTTCCTGGTCTATGCAATGGGAATGACACTTCTCCCTGGGTTGCTCTGAGTTTGAGTTAATCCATGCAGAGCCTTTGGAACAGTGATGACATCACTAGAGGTGGCAGTCATTGTTACAAGTGACAATGATGATTCATGGGACTGCAGCTAGACGCAGGGCAGCAAAGGTATCTTATGTCTTCCCTTGTTTTGCCACAGCTATGAGCTCACAGTCACGCTGCACCCTGCTGTGGCTGAAACATTTCTGCAGCAGGCATGATATGAACAGTGTAAGCTGGTTTTTTAGTTGTTGCTATAAACTTTTAAAATTCCCCATCCCCTGCTCACACTGCCTCCTGATGCAGACAGTGATTGTAGGTAGAGTTGTAAAAGGAGCAGAAGCCAAATTGTGGACAGGAGCCCCTCAACCTGTGGTGATCCTTGCCCACTTTTACACACCAGTTCTTATACAATCCACATGAATGAACATGGTCTCTATTTTGACTTCACCATCAACGTCATCATCATTCGACCTGAACTGCAAATGTTTGGTGACTCTTATGTATTTCTGAGATTAAAGTTTGGCTCTTGTGTTATTCAGTGAACACGTCTCTGGTTCTGTTCTTTGTTCACAGTCTCTGGCCCCCTCTCCTTTGATCCTTCTCTTGCCTTTCCCTTGCAGCCAATGCAAACTCCTTAGCTGCATCATTGCCTCTTGCACAGCCCAGTTTCCCTGACTCAGTCTCCCCTCTGTTTGCCTCATCCTTTTCTTTGAACTCCATTTCTTCTTTCCAGAAGGAACTGAATTACACCCAGACTTTTTCCCCAGGCTGTCTCCTGTTGTGGAGCAGGGGCGTCTGGGAGCCCTGAATTGTGGGAAAGTCAGTAAGAACAAGACCATGTGCACCATAGACATTTGTCTCCATATGTACACAGGCTCCCTGTGTGGCTATTTGCTCTCCAAGCGAACCCTGGGAGAAGCAGAGACCTGCCTGACCCATGGCAGCCCTGGGTCAGGATTGCTGCTCTGCATCTCTCTAGTCTCTCTGGGTCTTTGCAACCACTGCTTCTCCAAGAGCAGCCCCTGCAGTTTACTGTGATGCCACAGACAAGTGCTCATTCTTTCCTCCCATTTTATGTGGTAGACAATAGCATGTCAGTATGTTTGTCAGCCATACTGTGGCAGAGTATGCACTGCGCTGGGTAATATATTGAGTTCTCTGCTCTAAAGATGGATTTTCTCCAACCTGGAGAAATCAATGGTAACAGATCACAGCAGGACCGGTATAACACCCATCCTTGACAGCCAGGGAAAAGCACAAGGGTTGGCTTTCCCCAGCCTGTAATTCACTAACAGGGAATGCAAGATGTGTATTTAAACCCCATGATGAATGGGCTTTTTTCCTAAGAAACATGTGTATCTTGTAAATAGAATCTTATAAACATTTGTGGGATAGGAAATTCTTCTCAACCTTCCAAGTGCCACACTTTCGGGGGACTAGTCTCATCTGTCAAGAACCGCCCAGCTGTTTCTCTGTTGGTGGTAATGTATCATGTGGGACTCATGACTTCTCTCCCCCACTGTCCTCAAGAGGAAGTCATATTTCCAGCAGCCTTGTATGTCAGGGACTGGCTGAGGGGCTGGCCAAAGGTCACCTAATGAACAGTATTCCTACCCTGATGCCACTCTGAGAAATGTTCCCCAATTCAGAAGCCTCAGCCTTCACTCTCTCCTCCTTTTTGAGCCAAGAACAAATGGCCCACTAAGGCAGAAAATTCTGGACCACAGAAGTCATCCCAGTGGGAGGAGATACATTTGTCACTACTGTCATCACCTCCATGTAGACCTTGCTCTAAAGGCCTAAGCTGCTGCCAGCTCAAAGCTGTGGGCTTGCTGATTTGGGCACCTCAGTCCTTGACTCCCCTGTGGGTCACAGGAAGTGAAGATCAAGTAGAGAGAACAGTTGGGGCACTGCCCACTATAGAACAGTAAGTAATGATCAGGGAGCTCACCACTCATTTACAGGAACACATGCCCCAAAGGTCTCCCTCTGGTTAGAGAGGAAATCGCTGTGGATGGGACAGCAGGAAGTGAGGCAAGGCTACCCAATGCAAGAAGCTCGGGAACCAGCCCAAGGGGGGTTAGTCCCCTAATCCACAGGAATCCTGCTCTTGGTGGACCTAAGAACCCTCTCCTCTCCAGTTGCCTCCTTGACTCAGTCCCACCGTGCTGGAAGCCGTGGTGTGCTTCTTCTCCGTCTGGTCCATCGTTGGCCTCTCAGGTTTCCACACGTATTTGATCAGCTCCAACCAGACAACAAATGAAGATGTAAGTCTCCAGCTCCACCATGCTTAGCCGTGGAGGAGGCAAAAGAAGGAAAAGATCAGGGGCCAGCTTCCTGCACACATCCCACTCTGGTCAAGAGCCCTTGTGAGCAGAGGATGCACAGCAGAAGCACATCATGTGTCATCCTACATCGCTCTTGGACGTCTCTACATTCCCCTAATCTTTTTTTTTTTTTTTTTTTTGTGAGTACTGGGATTTAAACCAGGGCTTTCGCAGAGAGCTGTATCTCCAACCCATTTTTTAAAAAAGCTTTTGAGAGAGGGTCTTGCTAAGTCACTGAATTCCCTAGACTGGGCTCAAACTTGAGATCCTCCCACCTCAGCCTCTAGGAACGTTGGAGTTACAGGCATGTGCCACATGCCTAGATTTCCTGATCTTTTCTAACCATGTCTGTTAGATAATAAAATTAGCAAAGTAACTTGTAGCTCTGGCCTAAGAAGGTTCTATTCCTTTTAAATAATTTTGGAAATGACATGCCATACTTTCCCTAATGGAAACTATTAACACTCTTGAAGTAATTAGGTGCCTTTCAGATTTAATGTCTTAGTTTTTGGAGGAAATCATTCCACCCATACATAATGCAAGCCGAAAAAAAGAGTAAACACAAGAATCATAATATTGGAAAAATAATCTTATTGCTTTTTTTTCTTGGCTTTCAATAGAAGTCTGCATCTATAACTCTATATGCATGAATTAAATGCCTCAAAATAAATCAGGTTGCCTTCAACAAAAGCTTGAGAAGAATTGGTGCTGATTGAAAATACATATGATAAAAGATTACTAAGATAGTTAATTTGATTTAACTATGCATATTAGGGTCTGCAAGACTGGCTCTTGTAGCCAGACTGAATTCTTATAGTCTGAAGAGCAAGTTTGGGAGTCTCAGTAACGTTTTAGTTACTGTTCGTCTAGCTCCTCCTTAGAGCACCAAATGTGAGTGTGCAAAAGTCTCCACTGGCTTATATGACACAACTTTTTAGTAGCATGTGGCACAAACACAGATTATTGCCTTCAGAGACTGTTTATTCTCTCCCTAATTTAAGACACTGTTGGGGATACTTCCAGGTTTGGGGTGAAACAAACATTTTCCTTTAGAATGTACGTCAGTCTTTCCTGGTGAAGAAATGAGTAAAGTTTATGTACATTCTTCATGAGTTTGTATCATACTCGGGTTTGCTTAAACTGTGGCATCTGAATGAAGGATGTTTATCATTGATGCTCCTTTTCTTTCAGATTAAAGGATCTTGGTCAAATAAAAGAGGTAAAGAAAATTACAATCCCTACAGCTACGGAAATATCTTTACAAATTGCTGTGTGGCCCTGTGTGGGCCCATCTCTCCAAGGTAAGACTCAGAAAGCATCATGCTCTTAGTAGGTCTTGAGTAAAGCCCTCTAGCTGCCTCAGTACAAGCTACATAATGCCGAGGCCTGGCACCTACCATGTGGAGCTGGATACACCCATGTGTGCCCACCAGCTTGAGCCACTGTGCTAAGCTAAAGTCAGCTGATGGAATTCAAATCAGAACCCCTGTGTCAGAGTGAGACACACACATTACAGCCCTGTTGTGAACGTGCTTCACACTTCACATCTTTTTTGGTCTTCATTTGGGTCAGATTTGGGGGAAAATACTCTAAAATCTCAAATAGGAAAACTGAAGCACATGGCATTGTTAATTATTGATAGGGAGCACCTGTGACAAGCAGGGAGCTGTGGGTAGCATGGCAGGTGACCAGGGTGCACATGTAGGACACGGTTACACAAGCTGTAGAGGCAAGCACTGGAGTAGCTGGGATTGTGGAGAGGAAGATAATATTAACCATGGTAATAGCAGACATGTGTTGAACTAGTGTTTGGCTCTACTCTGAATGCTTTCTGTGTGTTGACTTTTCAAATCTCTCTGTGTCCCTGTGAAGTAGATATTAATGTCTATGATTTTATAGATGGACAGACTGAGGCACAGAATTTAAATCAAGTGCCCCAGATCACACAGCTAGTAGACGAATCAGTTTGTGTAGCCACAGATCCATGCTGCCTTCAGGTCAGAGCCTTGCAAGTTCAAATTACAATCAGTGTTTGATGATTTGTGACTTACACACCACATAGAATATTTCCCACCAATTAATCGTCACCAGATATTGACTGAGCAAGCATGCCAGGTTGAGTTTCTGGAGGTGTTACCAATGTGTTGCTACTTCCTCTCTCTGGTCTCCAAACCTGTAAAACAGAGAGAAAGCTCACAGGCCACTGATTGTCTCCACTCCACTGTAGTATGTTTATGACATGCACATCTCACACTGTTGCCAGCCTGGGAGAACCCTCTCTAGGGAAGTAAAAGTGACTTGAAGCCCCAGCTCTCACATGTCCAAGGTCCCTCAGGAACTGGCCACTGCCGAGAATCACTTCAGGGCCACATAGGTACCAGCAGGGGATCCTTCTGCTGTTTTCTGGAAAGTCGAGAGCCCAGCATGCCTCTCTCACCACTGAACTCTGTGTAACAGGGGACCCTGATGTGCTCCTCAGAGGCATCATCATGGGGAGCTGACAGGAAGAGGCTGGCAAGACCTAGAAAGAGGCCACTCAGCAGGTGTCAGGCCCACTTGGTGGGCACCAGCTCCTCATGAAGTGAGCCCCAGACCCACCCAAGCCTCCTTCTCTGGGCTCCTTGTGACAGGAAATTTCTCGGGAAGTGCTTGAGTCCCCCCTTTTACATTGCTTCCTGTTGTTGTGTTTTTAAGTGCTAAGGGAAGGCCACAGGAATTGAGAGGGGCCCCTGGAGGAGGGTTACAGTGAAGAACAGAGCCATATCTCCTTATCTGAAATACACATAGGAGTCCAGGGAAAGAACGAAAAACTCTCAAAGTCTGTCCAAATCTCTTTTCTTGTTCCTGGGTCCTAGGTTTGCAATATGGCACTGCTTTATACATTAATAGATCAATCTCCGTAGTTGGTAACAGTTTGTGCCATGTAAGTTAAGGTGGGAAGAATTGCATTCCTGCATAATTTTAGGTAACACATCAACTCCATTTTTAGTGTTTGTGTTGTAGTTACTTTTTTTCCAAAAAGAAAGTTACAATCCACTTAATAAAAATGACATGAGGGCTGGTGAGATGGCCCAGTGGTCTAAAGCACCTACTTAGAACAAGCTTAGCAAAGCAAAGGGACCGCAGTTCAATCCCCCAGCACCACATGCCAGCCAGCCCCGACCCCTGGTGGGCTGAGCTGGCCACACACACACACACACACACACACACACAAATAAATAAATAAAATTTAAAAAAAAATAAAAATAAAAATGACATGAGCTGTCATGTTAAAAAAAAAAAAAGATCAATCTCGTCACAATCAAAATCATTCCTTTCACAACAGCATTAAATGTGCTGTTTGGGCTGGGTTTGGGCTACATTGTCTCTAACATCCTTTGAGTGGAGCACTTTTGAAGGTCCTCCCCTTGGAACTGCTTAAATTGTTTTTTCAAAAGGAAACTAAGGCACAACAAAATGAGCAGGTAGTGATTCATGAATCTGGCAACTCCGATCCATAAATGGCTTGGGGCTCCACAGAAGGGGCACAAGGAGGTTTGTGCAAAGGAAAGGAAGCAAGGAAAGGAAATAACTCATTGACTAAAGGGAGCGGAAGCCTCGTCTGGGTCACTGCCATTCAAAGTCCCTGGGTAGAGGTTAGCTGGTGGTTCCTGGCTGGTTAGTCAGTCACACAGAGAGGATTCCGTTTGCTTATGTAGGGACTTGGAGTGCTGGAGTGGCCTCAGCCCAAGGCCTCCTAGTGAATTACTCTTACCCACTTCAGAGTGTTCTCAGGAAAAGGGCCAGCTCCCCTGCTCATGTTCCTGGGCTCCCAAGGATTGCCCCAGGCAGGTATGAGGGGGTTGTTCCTCTCTGCTTCTTGCTCCTGTTCTCCTCCCTCTGTCTGCCTCACCCCACCTTGGTGCCCTTGAGTGGTCCAGGATCTTCCTGGGGCCCCTTTGCCAGGCCAACCTGCTGACTAGTGTCTCCCACATACCTAGCACTGTGTTAGGGCTGCCTTGAGTGTGTCCTAAACACCATGTGCAAACATGTCTCTGTGTTGTATTGACAGCCTGTGTGTCAGGGATCCAAAGCTCCACAACCTAATACCTGTACACTGTCACAAATGTAGGAGGCAGACACAGAGGATGGCCAGGTTTGGAGAAGGGAGTCCTCATGACAGTCCAGCAGGAGGAGCAGAAAACTAGAAGAGAGAAGGCCCCAAGAAACCAGCCAACGCTGGGCCCCACATGGCCGTTTGCCTGGGTCAGGCCAGCGATAGAACTCCTTGAGCTGCTGCTTCCTGGGCACATCTGATCTCAGTGCTGGGCACCCAGGAGCAGGGCCACATGAGCCACACATGGGCCACATGGACAGTCAATAAGGCAGTGATGCGGTGACAGGGAGTGGCTGGGAGAGGGGCCAAGGTTGTCCTACATCCTAAAGGATGAGTAGGAATTGCAGGGAGGAGCATTTTTGACAAGCAGAGGGACTAGCATGTGCAAAGGCCCCTGGTGAAGGCAGGAACAACAGATCATTTTGTTCACAGGGGTGCAGGGAGCAAGGTAGGGCAAGGACGAGAGAGAGGTGAGGGGAGAGGGCAGAGACTTATGCAGAGGGCTTGTGAGTCCAGGCACGGACCAGAGAGTAATACGGTGCATGGCCAGCTACACTGGCCCTGCACCCAGTCCCAGTCCCAGGTGTGTATGTGGCTGCCGCACCAAATCGGCTAGACGCAGTCCCATGTGTCCGTGTCTCCCTGCTGTCCCTGCAAACTCCTTGGTGACCCAGTTCTTTTTCTGTTCCTGGGTGAAACTCCCCCCCCACACACACACACACATACACACAAATCCCTTAATTTCTTTTGTCACTTAAACAGGGAAGGAGGGAGGACTCACTTTCTTTTCCTCCCAAAGAGTGGCATGTCAGTGAATAACTCCCAACCTGAGTTCACTGCAAGTACAGTAAGCACTTTCCAACCCCTCACCCCATCCCATTGGGAACTGTGAGATCCCTGCTTCCCTTGAGCACTGCCCCCTAGCCAGTCCCACTCCTTCAGTCCCCCAACAGTGGGGATGGGAGGCCAGCCTTAGGGACTGTCACTTAGAACTGGGTCCTATGCCTAAGCTGGGGGCCTCTGAGGCTGGCCGGTCCTCCCCCAGAGGTTCTGCTGAGAACCTCCACTTGCAACTCCCCTGACACAGGACAGGCTCTCACTCCTGGTGGTCACTTACTCCCCCTCAGCTCTCGCTTGCAGCTCCCCTCCCCATAGGCCTCTGTACCTTCTTGGTTTGAGTCCTATTAGTACTTTCTGAGGGCACCATAGTAAAATGCCAGAAATTGGGGGAATGTTGTTTCTCAAAACAACAGAAATGTATTCTCTGAGGTCAGAAGACCGGAAACCTACATTCAAGGTGTTAGCAAAGGAAGGGAGCCCTTCCTTGTTTTCTTTCTCTTCCCAGTTCTTGCTGGCTGCTTAGCATTCTCCACCTTCTTTGGCTTATAGATACGTCATTCCCGTCTTCTTGTCTGTCACGTGGGCTCCTCCCTGTGTCTCTGCTCCTTTACATAGCATTGTCTTCCCTGTATCTTTGTCTTTTCTTGTGAGGACACCAGTCACATTGGATCAGACTGTCGCCAGTCCAGTAGGAATTCAGATGCATCTGCAAAGACCCTATTTCCAGATAAGATCATATTCAGAGACACGAGGGTTGAGGCTTCAACCTATCTTTTTGCATAATTCAACCAATTACATTCTTTTTTGAGCCGACATCAGTGGACAGTGGAATGGGATGGAATCTGACTTTGGACAGGAAAAAAAGAGGCTGAAACAGAAATATAGAGGAGACAAAGTGCAGCTCACATGCAGGGAGCCGCGGGGGCTCTGGCACAGGGCAGTTACTAGGGACACACTTGCTGAATGAGTGTACAGAGAAACTGGACTTAAGGCTAGACAGGAAAGCCGGGGACAGACTGTGGCAGTGTAAGATGAGATCAACCAATGAGGGGACAAGTAGGGAGCTGCAGGGACCTGCTGAAGAGGCAACCAGGGCCACTGGCCTTTTAAAGGAAGAGTGGCAGAATTTGATCACTGGCTTTACATGGAAAAGAGTAAGGTGCCTTCTACGATACCAGAAATGGGGCTATCTCAAAAAGAGGGAGCACAGACCTGGACATTTAAGTCATGTCACTGTCATCTTTGCTTCCCCACACCCCTTTACTCTCTCCTCCCTTCTCTCCTGCAGCTTGATTGACAGAAGAGGTTACATCCAGCCTGACACCCCACAGCCAGCAGCACCCTCCAACGGGATCACCATGTATGGGGCCATGCAGTCACAGAGTGACATGGTAAGGGTGCCTTGTGCCAGGCTGCTGCTCCCTGGGAGCGCTTCTCGACCACTTATGCATTCACTAACCCAGTAACAAGCCATGCATCTAAACAGCGGGGTCTGCTGGGACTGCTCTGGGTCTCAACAAGCTTCCTTGAAGAAAGTAAAATGGCAAACTGAGGCAATATCGAGTAAAAGGCCATAGCCACTGAGCCTGGGTGGTATCCTGCCTGTCAGGGAAGCACTTGTACAAGACCTCTGCTCCACAGAGGCACACTGGTGGGAATCAGGGTGTGTCACTGAGGGACAGGACTCAGCTGTCCTCCAGGGCCAGGCTTGCTTAATGTTCTATTTCCTGTGCTGCCTATTCTCAGAACTGGTTGGGATTGACCGCCTCTAGGCATACACTCACACGTACATACTTTGTTAAGAGTACAGTGGATAGTACTGTGCTACCCATTGGCCTACTTTCAGCCCAAATCTTAGATTTTGGCCGTGTAATCCTTCATCCACAGCAAAAACTGCCTTTGTATGCATACAGTATGTACATACTGCAGCAGGAATGGGCTTGGCTTCTGGTTTGAAAGGGGGTGGGATGGGGACAGGAGCCTCTCTAGGGACAGCACTTTAGGTCTTGACTCTCAAGACCTTAAGTTCCTCAAGTGTTTGGAAGGCAGCAACTCCCTTGCTAAAGAAAATTCACATTTCTGCGAAAGAGCCAGTCCTGTGCCCTCAACCCCTAGCACTGACTTTGCTTGTAGACCCAAATCAGCCATGCAGTTTCTGTACAGTGTAGATCCAGGAGTTGACTTAGGGATAGACTAGGGGTGACAGTGCCCTAGAGCACCTTGATTTTATGTAAGAAAACCACTAGGTGAGGGCTGGCAGCCTCCAGCCTGTGTCTAAGAGCTAGAGCTAAGGAGAGGCTTTCATTCCCGATCACCCTCCTGGCTCCAGCCGTCAGCAGAAGGATGCTGGGGCTCATGCGCTGCTAGTGCTTGTGTCTTGTGTTGCTTTGCTTCACGTTACTCATACCAAAACTCCTTTGCAAGCAAGTATGTGTACACCACAGTCCTTGTCATTCCCCTCCGTGAGTGACCAGGGAACTCTTGTTGTATACACGTATGCTACACAAGTGACCAGCAGGTCACTGGCCCCCAGTGTTTTACATGAAGAAAATGAGAAAGAGAGACTGGCTCACAGAAAGGGAATGGGATCTACCGACCACCAGCTATGTTCTAGGTGCTTGACGGTGCAGATCCCATTTAATCCTAAACCAACAGTGAGACATTGTTGCCCACTGTTTTTCAAGCTTGATATTGATGATATTGATCACCTACCCAAGGAAGCATAGCCACTAATTAAAATCTAAAGTCTGTCTGGTGACTCTGACCCTGTGGTCACTTCAAATACCATGCTCTTATGATACACGAGCATTGTGGGCAAGTCTGCATGCTCAGAAGCCCACCTCAGCCATCTGCCAGTGCCCAGGGAAGGCCCTGGACCAACAGTTCCCCAGGTTCTGATTTAGGTGCACCCTGATCACAGCTCTCATTTGGGTGTGTGTTTGTGCACACATGCATCTTCCATTTGTCCAGCAACTCTGCCAGCTTCTGCTGTCTGCTGAGGAACAGACTAGAGGTCTGTGCGATGAGGTTATCAAGGTACAACTCCCACACCCACGTACATGCACACCCCCTCAAGGAGTAGACCTCCAGGGGCCACGATGTTAGCAGATGCTGAAGGAAGCTTTGTGCACCTTCTTTGGAGACCACTGGGCAGCAACAGGCCATCCTGACACCAATGGACTCATTAGTGTCACTGATCCCGCATGTGTTCTGCATATTCGGTACGTTTGAAAAGTAAGCAAAGGCCACCTTGGAGATGCTGTCACCAGAAAGTTACTTCAGATCAAGATGGAATGGGACATAATTCATTAACTTAATGAACATTGATTTGATGTCTCCTCTATGCCTCTGTAATAGCCAGATTCACCAAATTCACCACTAGAGTCCAGCCTAGAGCTGCAGGATGACTCCAGCTAAGGCGAAGCCACTGAGGGTGCTGGTGTGACAGAATTGGCTGAGATGAGGTTGCTATTCCAGTGGGAAAGCCACCTCCAAAGCAGATGGTAGCCCTGGTGGCCCAGGCCTTGGATACCATCACATTGGGAAAAGGACCCGTGAAGGTAAAGAGGCAGCCTGGGATAGTGAACCAGCCGCAGCTGCCAATCTCTGGGGGCTCCATGCAGCGCACAGGTCTGCTGTAAGGTGTCTGCTCACCTATGTGCATAGGTGCTTCTCCAGGAAGCATGAACACAAGGGCATGAAAGCCCAAACTCCCTGCCCTCCATCCTCTGCTGCATCTGGAGGTAACGCTAGATGTGGGCCACTAGGCAGAGAGCTATATGTGACATTCAGCTGCAGAGTGACAGGCAGAAAAGGGCAGGGACTGGGAAAGGGTCCTGGACCCTGACATGGAGCCTCATCAGAGCTGACCCAGGGGCCAAGGGCGTTGTGAGCCCCATTGGAGCCCAAACCGAACCTGTGGCCTGGGGCACCATCCCAACTGACAATGCCCTCATACTCCACCCCACACCCACTGAGCACAGGTGCACAGTGTACCTCCTACAGCTGCCTCAGCGCCTCCACACCCAGAAGGCAGGAGCCTCTTCCACACTGTCCCCAGGTCTCCCTGAGTAGCTTCTAGTAAAAGGCTTGGGAAGCTCCATGGGTGGAAAAGAACAAGCAATGTCTTCTAGATGGTTAACAACCTAAGTTTGCAGACCAAAATTAGATGAAAAGGAGGGCTGCAAGGAAAGCCAACATTTTGGCCCTAGCCTTCCAAGGTCAATTAAGACTCAAGACATATGAGAACTTGTACTGTAACGTCACGTAACTCAGCAGTGTCCCAAATTTTCTGATCAAAGAGATTATGGGGCCAAAGAGGAAAGTGATCGATGATGTAGAGTGTGCCTAAGGAGAGTCTCATGGAGAGAAAACATTCTCTCAGGCTTTCACAGAGAGCACATTGGCCAAGCAATGGCTGTGACTCATCCATATGGCTGACACTGACAAACAATCTGAGGTACAGGATCTCAGGATAAATCCTGAGGGGATTTCACTGACCTTATCAGACCCAAAAGCTACAACTCTTGTTGCATAGGTCCTGCTCTACCTTGGTCTTAACCACCCAGAAGAAAAGTACAAAAACAAAATATAAGAAGTAAAGCCATGCTGTTATGTTGAGCTGTAGGGGACTCAAGTCAACAATTTCTGACAATGCCAGTGAAGCGGAAGACCCAATACTATTATGGACTACTGAACTCTTTTAGATTATTTTGCTGAGTTAACATACCTATAATATTCAAATAATGGAATTTAACAGAAAAAGGGTATACAGATGAATGTCCATTTTGTATCTGTGTATTCAAAGTGGTTAGGATAGATATATAGTTACATTCTCTTAATGAATAGAGTGATTTGTTCTAATGGTGTTTGTAGATAGGATATCATGTCCACATCTTGTACAGCAATTAACCACTGGGAGGAATGTATGCAATGTGTTAATTATTGAAACTGTCCTACCAATTTGATTTGAAACTGTCTCATTGCTATTTGTTTATCAATAAAATTATGGAAGAAAAAAAAGAAATGAACAAGCAAGACCAAGTCCACCACAGAGCCGTGCCAGACAGTGTCACACGAAAGCTGCTCCTTTATGAACGCTGGCACACACCATTTTGTGTGTAATGTCAGGATTAGGCTCTGTCCCTAAAATCCATAGACCCCCAAATCAAGAAGCCTTCTGTCAGGAGCACCATGGTCTACCTTGTCCTTGTCAGACAAGAAATATGAACACACTGAGAGTTGTACACCTACCTATAAGCACTACTCCAGATTCAAAAATGGCACAGCAGGATAGAATCAGGTCTGAGCCCTCAACGTCCCAGAAATGATAAAAGCTGTGTAGAGACATATGTTCCACATGGTGAGCATGGTAGAAACAGCCAGCAGTTAGCTCTAAACTGCCTTCTTTAGTTTACCCTCTCCTAAAGTGGAAAAAAGGGACAAGAACTAATAGTACATAAATCAGAGTGCTGCCACTTTCTAGATATGTGATCTTGACAAGTTTTTAATCTCTCTGCCTCAGTGTTTTTATCTATAAAATGGAAACATTGAAATCCTTGCTTGGGAGGATTTCTATGGGAAACAAGTGAGTTAATACTAGTGTAACACTTCAAGCCTTGCCTGCTACAAGATAAATTCTATGTAAGTGTTAGCTATTATTATCTTTCTGATCCTCTCTGAACAACTGGACAACATGGACGGGATTGGACTGAAGGCAAGAGCTGGGATGGAAGCCAGGCTCCAAATCTCAAGCCATCTACTTCTCTGGCCCTCAGTGTCCTTCTACAAAAATGAGCTGAGATAGTTTGTGTATAAAGCTTCTGTCAACTCCAAACCGTCTGTGGCTCTGTAATCACAGAGATTTGGATTTGCAGCTCAATCTGTGTCAAGATATCTCTGTCTCTACACAGGAAAGAGCCCCCTGGTCCTCCTAGGAGGCAAACTTTGATCCTCAGCTATTTTTACATCTCCTTAAACATCTTGTTCCATAATCCCAAGACTAAGTCACAACTTGCCATAGGATCCACGGTGTGCCGCTGTCTGGTCTGCATACCAGAACTCCCCTAAGAGTGTATCATTCATTGCTTTTCTTATTTGCTTCATAGTTTTTGCATTTCCAGGATAAATCCCACATGCTTGTGACATATAATCATTTTTATATGTTGCTGAATTGCATTTGCTAGTATCTTATTGAGGAGTTTTCTAGTCATATTCTGAGAGTTATTGTCCATAGTTTCCTTTCCTTATGAAGTCTCTGTGTGGTGTTGGTATCAGGGGGTAATACTAGCCTTATAGAATGAGTTGAGGAGCATTTGTTCTATTTCTGTTCTGTGAAGAATTTGTCTTGATCCTTCTTTAAGGATTTAGAAGAATTCACCAGCGAAGCCTC